TAAGAATTGGAACTGCAGCCACAGGAAGTCATAATAAATTCCCTACAAGCTTATTTAAGGACAGGCAGTGCAACCCCAGCCCCGCACACCAATATTTCCCTGTATCCAGTCCTGAGGGTGAGGGCCACTGCCTGGAGTTTCAAAGTACTTATGGGTTATGACAGTGGAAGTTGTAAAGAATAAGGAATACCTCTTTTTGGTACCATAAGAACCTAGAGAATTGACACCCAACATCTGTTCTGTCCTCAGTAATTCATCAGGAGGAATGAGAAGAAATGTGAGGGTACTTCAATTTAAATATCTTTTAAAATCCAACCAAATATGCCCTTTAGTGAAGTCATCATTTTTCTTCCCAATACCCCCTGAATCTGCTGATGATACCGTTATTCCAGCATCTCCTCCCAGCTCAAAATACTGAATGATTTAAAACTTATTCCTTTTCTTAACAAAGTCACGGTCACCAGTTCCTAGAAACATCTTTCCTCCTTTTTCATATCACTATCTTGGTGTAAGCCTTCCTTCTGCTCATCTTAATTACTATAAAGCAGTGGCTTCACTGGCCTCTCTGGCTGTATCTCTGTTTGCATCCTCACACATCCTGTGGATTAATAAGCATCAGTAATCACATTTTATTAACATATTTGTCCCTACTGAACACAAAAGAAACCTACAAACTATACTCATAATCACCAGGGATTGATCAAAGCTCCTGAGCAAATAAAGTGCCTATGAAAATGTTTTTAAAAATAAGCATATAAATATCATTTTCAGTAATATGCTTTGTAACACAGCATATTGTTTCATGCCTAAAGTCTGTGCAATGGGACCACCTTATTGTTAACTAACAATACTCAGCTTATTAATTTTTTTTTTTTTTTTGTACTGGGGATTGAACCCAGTGGCACTGAACCACTGAGCCACACCTCTGGCCCTCTTTTGTATTTTATTTAGAGATGGGGTCTTATTGAGTTGCTTAGGGCCTTGTTAAGTTGCTGAGGCTGGCTTTGAACTCAAGATCCTCCTGCCTCAGCCTTCCTAGCTGCTGGGATTATAGGCATGTGCACTGTGCCCAGCTCAGCTTAAGTTGTCTTTCAGGGAGGTATCAGATCAACTATTAAAAAAACCCGATTCTGTTAGAGTATACTGATACAATACATGATAGATCTCAGGAAAAGAAAAGTATCTTTGGTAACATGAGCCTGAGTCCACATGTAGCTATTATCTTTATATTTTCATGTCTAAGGTGATCATAAGGTAGACTGGACTTGAAATACATCTAAATGGGGTAGGAACAGAAGAGAATACCATAAGACTACTGTAGATGTTATACATGAATTCAGGCTCTCTTGATAGGATCAAAACCAAGGGCATTATTTCTGGACTTCTTTCATGTAACATTATTTTAGGTCTGTTTTCCTTATTTTTAGCTGGAAGTTACATGTGCCCACATGCTTGAATACAAAACAGCCAACTATAATTTAAAATTTGATAAAATTTTGAAGAAATAAAATCCTGATTGCATAGTTCAGTAGCTGTCATCTCCACGCTGAACTCTCCTAATCTCTCTGAACTGATGAGTGATGAGTGAACTGAAGCCTAAGCATAGGACAGGCAATCTAGCAAAACTGGACAAGTGCCTGCAAGAAGCTGGAACTTGGGCTGGGCTGGGGCTCAGTGGGGAGCGCTTGCCTTGCAGGTGTGAGGCCCTGGGTTCCATCCTCAGCACCACATAAAAATAAATAAATAAAATAAAGGTATTGTGTCCATCTACAACTAAAATAAAATATTAAAAACAAGAAGCTGGAACATCAGACTGCCTGAGGACAAGGATCTTGTCTGCTCATCATATGGCAAGCAGATCTGCTAGGTGGAAAGGGGTTCCAAAATGGTCAGACAATACAATTTTCCTTTTTATTTAGTATAGATGAAGTATTTTTTCACATCTTGTTTCATTTGTGCTAAGTAGTTGAAACTTTAGTTTACTGGAAGTGAACTTTAAAATAATAATTTAAAAATATTTTTAAAGAAAATATCAGATAATGGTTCTGTTTTTTGATTATATAGAAAAAACTTAAATATGTATCATCCATTAATTAAATAATCATATTATGGTGACAAGAGGTAAAGATAAAAGATTTAAGCAAAGAAAACCCATGGAAATTTTAAAAGTTCATCAATAGCTTAGTAATTCAGTGGTCTGCTTATGTCATGTATGTATAATTTATACATGGATCACAAATAATTTTAGATCATTTAAAATCTTGACCTTGTTCTAACGTACATTTTATAAACCAATTTCTGAGAATAATCTATTATGTATTTGTCATTTCTACCATATCTCAGAAGTGGCTATCATTTATTCAATGTGAAATGTAAAAGAACTACAAAACACTTTAAACTCTTTCGTTACTCAAAGAAGCTTCCTTTTCTAGTGCATCTTTCTGACTCCATGCTTGTGCCTTCAACACTTTGGCAGCCATTTCCGGTTCCGTATGGAAAGCGGAAAGCGTACCTGCTCCTGCCAGACACATTCAGCACACAAGGAGCCACTACAGGGCCTGCTGATGCTAGTTCCACAGCGGCTGTTGGGAGGGAAGGAGGAGAGCCCACCACACTGTGTCAGCTGCTGGGCCTTCCCACTGCCCCTGGATGCTGTGCCCCGAGGAGGCAAGGTACTTCACACTCTAGTAATTTTTCCTGATTTGGAAGTATTTCTAACTGTATTTGGAATTATTAAGATAGTTATACATTTAAAGTAAATGATACAAATAACTCCTTAAATATATGCAACTTAACTTTTAAAAATTCAACAGAAAAATCTTGACCTCCAATGGTTGGATACCCAATGGTTACTGGTGAAGTACAATCCTTAATAAAGGAAGACTCTCTCAAGTGTATACAAGACTTGCATCTATTTCAGTCATTAGCTATTTCTGTGAATAGACCACTTTACTTATTAATAAAATTCTTGCCAAAAAATAGCTCTTTCTTGTCATACAAATAAAAAAAGAAAACAAATACTGTGCTCAGCATTCTATTGTGTATTGCTATAAATATAAACTGATACAAATGAGAGAACAAATCATTAAACTGTGCATAAGGTCACTCTGCCCAGAGTAGTTTTCCATTGCTGTGCATTTCCTTCTTCATTCGCTCAAGTACTAGGAAGGGATTCAGTGGAAAGAACAGAGCAGATAGTTAACAAATCCCTTCCCCAGGAAGGTATGAGGACTAGATTTGAAAGATGAGAAAATGGGCATGGAGACTTGCCCAGGGGCAGGTTGTCATCCTTACACCAAGTCTGCTGTTTACATCTCCTCCCCTCACCTGGCATGCTACTGCTGGGCTGATTTGAAGGTTATTGTTGCATTACCCTCCCCCTATTTAATCACTACCACTTTATCACCATGACTGCAATCTGTACATGATTAACTGTTTACATTTAAATCTAAACCCCAGGCACCCCTAAAACTAGGCCCTCCTGGTCCCATTTAGTCATTCTCACCAAATATATGTGTTTTTCCCCCATTTTAAATACAAAATCTATTGAGAGCTAGACAATGACATTAGGTCTCTATAAATTTTTGTTGATGATAAGATGCTTTAATTGAGTGACAGATTCTGCCTTAATTTAAACCTCAAAAGTTCCTTATTTAAGAATGACTTTAAGATAGCATTTCTGAGAAGATGACACTGATTTCAGCCATTGTTACAAATAATTTAAATTTTAAAAACATATAGGGCAATATTTTGATTCTGTTTATTGATATTTACTTAAGTCTCAGAAAGTATTAAGTAACTATTCTTTCTCACTCTGAGTTATAAACTTCTGGGAGAAAAATCCAATTTCTACTCATGACACTGCTCTCCTTAGTGTCTAGCTGCCTAGACCTATTTTGGTATGAGGTACTTCATATTTGTTCCCAGCCTGGTTCTCAGGTCAAAAATCTTAACACTCCTACATTCCCAACCTCTGTGAACTCTTACTATTATTCCCACACCATGCCAGTCCCTTTGTGAACTCTGTGCCTTTACACATTCAAATCTAATGTTCTCAGCTTGCTTTTCTACCCCCTTTTTAAACTAGTTCATCACTTTCTACTCATTCTCCTAGACTTGTTTTAAGTGTCACCCCTTCTGAAAAGTCTTCAGGGGCTCCTTACAGTCAAAGTTAACTATAATTATCTGCTCTATGACTGCCTGTCCAAATAAACAGTAAGCTGAAGGGCATCAGGGAGAGCGTCTTACAAATCACTGTACTCTCAGCACCTGGCACAGAGTGGAACACACCCGAATGCATGGAAGAATGTCCAACCCAGGGCCTCTACCACTGAACTATATCTTTTTTTTTTTTTTTGGTACTGGGGATGACCCAGGGGCACTTGACCACTGAGCCACATCCCCAGCCACATTTTGTATTTTATTTAGAGACAGGGTCTCACTGAGTTGCTTAAGGCCTTGCTAAATTGCTGAGGCTGGTTTTGAATTCAAGATCCTCTTGCCTCAGCTCTGGAGCTGCTGGGATTACAGGCATGCATAACTGTGCCCGGCTTGTATAAGTACTTCTTGATCTTACATTTAAATATTTATAAATATTTAAATGATCCATAACTAGTTAAAAATAACTTTTTTTTTTTTTTGTGAAGTTGTAACTGGGAATTGAATCCAAGGGCACTCTGCCACTGAGCTTTATCTCCAGCCCTTTAAAAAAATTTTTTTAAAAATTTTTGAGAAAAGGTCTCACTAAATTGCTGAGGGTCTCACCAAGTTGTTGAGATTGACCTCGAATTTATGATCCTCCTGCCTCAGCCTTCTGAGTTCTAGTACTTTTTGATTGGAAAAAAATATCAAAATGATCCATAATTGCTTAGAAATAACTTCTAGATTCTATAATTCCTTAAATTATAAATTCCTTTAAGTTTCTACAATTTCTTAGGCATGTCAAAATTTCTACATTTTCCAAACATTTGGAAAGCATTTATAATGCAGGAGCAACTTACTTTATTTCGATCTTGTACGACCAATATTTTTCTAGTACTCTCATCAAATACAGCTCCTGTTAGGAGAAACAATAAACGATAATCAAGAAATATTAATTTCATTCTCTTAGACTCCTCCCATACTTATCTGTGGTCATCAAAATCCTACCCATGCTTGAAGGCCTAGTTCAGATATCATCTCATCCATGAAGACTTGTAAATCTCCTGAGCAAGGAATTGATTGTTCAGTAGTTATTTTTAGTTCTAGTATATACTAAGTTGTAGCATAATCATCTGCTTAAGCTTCTCTAGATTGTCTATTTCTCTTGGTACACAATCTTTCTATCCTTTCACGGCATTTTCTTTATAGTGTTCAGATAATTTTAAGTGCCTGTTGCAGTCCATTTGGCATCTATAATAAACTACCACAAACTGGTGGCTTATCATAACACAATTTTCTTATAGTTCTATAAGTTGAGAAGTTCAAGACTGAGGTCCTGGCAGGCTCAGTGTCTGGAGAAGGCCCACTCCTTAGTGTCTTCTTGCTATGTCCTCACACAGTGGAAGGGCAAACAAACTCCCTCAGGCCTCCTTCATGAGGGATTGGATCCCACTGCCCAAAGGCCTCCCCTCTTCACAGCCTCACACTAAGGATTAGGCTTCAGTGTGTGGATTTGGGAAGAGAGATATTCAGAGCATGCATTTAAAAGTGTTCACTGAATAAAGGCATTTGCTTTTTCATTCTTTCTTGAATCACTGCATAGAACACAGGCCTCTGACCCCTAACAATCCAAATCCTAGTATCTTAATATTCAGTTCAGGACCTTTCTGAAGCTAATTGTACACAACTTTTTAACATATAACACAAATATTTCTTTTTGTAGTTTAAAGTTCTAATCCATTTATTTCATTTACTCATTAATTATACACATTACTTAGTGCACTATAGATTATGCTAGCATTTATCTTTGAGCAATCCTGGGTCAAAAATATAAATAACAGTCTAATGATCTTTATTAGGTTCCTTTAAATGGGATAACGTAAACATTTGTTTATGTGGGAAGATATTTTCCACATATTCAGCCATTCTTTCCATATTGAGTCCTTATACACAACATATGGTAATAAATACTATGTAGAGATAAAATATGTAAAGGGAATAGGTATTTGTAACACAAGGAAAACTGAAATGAAACACCATTTAGTGTTTTAAAACAAGAGTAAAACCAAATGAGGTGTAATTAATGATGATGGATTCTATTATAAAATTTAGACTATGATGAAATTGGACTTTCCAAGGGATAGCATGCAAGGAAACCTACTCTTAAAGTATAAAAATTGTGATTAGCCACCTTGAACTTTCCCCTAATGAATTCACTAGTAACAGGAGCACAGAACCAGTACACACAACTTGAGTGACCCCTGCTGGCCACAGCACAAGAGCTAAATCAATCCTAGGTCAGAGATCAAGTGGAAATTCCCAGCTTATGGCCAGAGACTGTGCTTACTGCTTTGTGTGCATTATTGTCTAGGGTGCTCATCAAAAGAATCCGCTGAACATCCTGAGTACCTGAGTTCATGCAGCCTAGAGGGAGAGTGGAGCCTGGCAGCCAGTCTGGGCTCCAAGTAAGCACTCTTTTTTTTTTTTTTTAAATTGGCTTCATTTATTTTTTAAGTTGGACACAATACCTTTACTTTATTTGTTTATTTTTTTGTGATGCTGAGGATCAAACCCAGGGCCTCCCATGTGCTAGGTGGGCACTCTACCGCTGAACCACAAACCAAGCCCCCCAAGTAGGCACTCTTTACAGTACAATGTGGCACTCCAAGGGCTCATGTCCACTTGAAGGTTTGACATTCACTCAAGAAATCCTGGGTGTCTGCTTTAGGCCAGACTGTCTTTGCTTGAGGATACAGTGGTGAAGGAGACTTAAAATACCCACCTTCATGGAGTTGATATTATTGTAGGGATAGGATTCCCAATTGTGTTATGTGCAATAAAGACAGGTGGCTCTAGATAAAGGGACAAAGGCTGATAGGTTTGGTGTGCAGGAGAACCCCGTTTTAGACAGGAGGGTCAGGAGCTTTTCTGAGGAGGAGACACTTGTGCAGAACCGTCAACTGTCAAGAACTGGACAAAGCTCTGAGGAAGCACATTGCAGGGGAAGAAGTCAGTAGATGCCAGGCTAGTAGGTGCTGGCTTGTGAGGGTAATTAACCAGGGAAGAAGCCACAGCTCACTCTGGTCCAGCCATACTATGAGCAACCTTCTGTCCTTCTGTTGCTCATAATAACATCGACTATTTTCTCTCCACCTAAAAATCTCTGCATTAGATTGTTCCTATCCCTAAGAGCCCCCTCTGATCCTAGTTATCCTTCACTACTGGTCAAGTTCCACATCTCCCATTCTTGAAGTCCTCTAGAACTCCTAAACTATATGAGACAATACAATACTTACTTATAAACTCTCATGGAAAACTCTTCGTGTATATATCACCAATTCTATGGTAATGATTGCAAACTCAATCAGAAATCCATGACAATGAATGAGAGTTATTTCTATGACTTTCCAATGAAGTGAGGCTGTCACCCAATTATCAAGTACAATCGTTTGTAATGAAGCTGAATGGAAAGCTTAAGACTTCAGATAGAGAAGACATTACTAGACTTTTTGAATAACTCCTTTAAAACACTTCTTATGTGCAAAATAGCTTTAAAACGCTTGTAAATTATATAAAATTGCTAATTAAAATTATTAATAAATTACTATTTAATACATATTATTTCTTTCATTTAAGAATCTCCTTAATCCTGGTTCTCAAAGGGTGTTTTTAAGACCAAAAGCTGCAATAGCAGAAATAGCCACAGGAAAATTATTAGAAATGCCAATTCTTAGGTCCCACCCCAGACCTACTGAATCATCAGTCTGTCTTAATAAGCCCTCTGATTTTGATGGCTTCTACTATGTGAGTCCCTGTCTTTATTGGAAGATAGTATTCTCTCAATTTATATCTATGAAGCTAATCAGACTATGAAGTTCTACACTGTCATTAAATCATGCTATTTTAAATAATGGTTTGGCACAATAACTTAACCTAAATGTCTTTAAGAAGTAATATTCAATTTGGTTCTCTTTACCTTATACTCAACCTAAGCTATATTTCACAGTACAGATTCGTATGTTTAGTAGTACTAATATGTGTGATAAGAACATGAAAATTGTCAGAATCAAAATAGATTCACTGTGGTAAACCTAACCAAAAAAAGGAAAAAGTGAATAAGGCTGGGAGGTTATGAAGGGCCGGTCGTACAGGAGGCCTGATGGTAATCATCACAACATTCTGCCATAACCACAGCTTTCAGAGGCCACCGCGATAACATAAAAAAAAATACCTCTATGAGGACATCTGCCCTGAAACTCTTTGTTCAACTTCAGACTGCTGTACTTTTATTATTAATCACTGTGGCCCAGTGATAACCATTTCCAAATACCTGCTAAAATTCTACTCACATCTGTCTCTCAAATTTTGTCCTGGCCTCAACTTCTTTGAACACACTCATAGTTTACCATGGTACCTGTATTCCCATTGCAATACTCGGCTATTTCTAAATAAATTTCATCCTTTAGAGACTCTGATTGTTTTGTTTATTTAGGTTGAATGAATTTATTTCCTGATTCCAAGTCATGCCACTGTTTGAGAACAGGTTTTGGAATTCAGCTCTCAATGTGCCAGTTCTTTGTGATGCCCTCTGCTGATCTGTAAAGCAACTTTCATTTATTTAAAAGCTCTGCAACAGTTTCAGGAAGATAATCACTGAACAAAGTCATTCATCAAAGAAAGAAACTGGGTTACCCTTAAGGAACTTTAAAAAGTGAACTCTAGTGGCCATGAGTTCGAAACTTACCTGCGACTCCTACTTGATGTGTGGCATACGCTGGTAATCTGCTGGGCCCTTCTCCCAGCCACAGGGTCAGCATTGATGAGTCCGATTCTGCATGGTGAAAGCGGAAGCCCAGGGAAGCAGCAGGGGCAATAAATCGGCTTTGGAGGATGGGAATATGCAGCCAGACGGCTATTTTACCTTCTGATCGCCACTCATGTATTGCAGCTAAAATGTAGAAGATAAGAATCTGTAAACATTTTACAGTGAGACAAATAGGATAAACTAAAACTGGGCTCAGGGTGTCACTTCCTCCAGAAAGCCATCTTTAGGGATGTACTTCCTCATGATTAGCTTTCTGGAGAGATCCCAAAATGTCCTGTTCACATCACCAGCATGGCTACTACTATGTTTTTCATAATTACCACTTTATTTATATGATTTTCTACCAGATCAAAATCCTGGAGAACACAGTGCTGATCTTCACATCCATACCAACTGAAGACAATATTCGCCACATAACAGGTGTTGTTAATTGCAGAATAGACAAATAAACTGATTTAAACAAAATGGAATACAATTTTAATGCTGTTTCTTTCTCTGTTTTGTGATGCTGGAGATCAAGCCCTGGGCTTCATACAGGATAAGTGTTCCACTACCAAGCTACATCACCAGCCAATGGTTTCTTTTAACACCCTTAGTCTTGATCTTTATTAAGGACTTTTACTTGCACTTAAAGAGTTATGCCATAATTATTTTTGGTTTATAAATTTCAAGATGGTCAAAAGTATATAATTATTTTAAAATAATTATGCTAGTTCTAGAAAATCTTGAAAATAAAGATAATGAATTAACCTTAATGTTTTACTAGTTTGAAAATATCTAAAATTTTTTTGTTTTCATGAATTTTTTAAGTAACATCATATTACATACAGCTTATATTATGTCTTTCACAACATATCTTAAACATTCTGGGGTAAGTCACCAAAATTCTTTGAATGAATATACATTTCTAATAACTCCAAGTTTTCCATATGTAGGTATTCATAAGCTTCTTAACCAACCTTCTACTCATAGACATTTATTTCTAATTTTATTATAAAAAATTCCCCAATGAACATGATAGGTTTTGTCTTTGAATTTTTTAAAGTTTCTTACTTCATTACATAAGATTAAGCCAGGGGATAAAGATGCCAATTCATTTAACCTTGCTAAGTTTCACTGCTTTACAACATTAGTTAAGTACTCACAACCATGAAAGACAAAGGAAGGGGTGAAGAAAGGAATACTTCGCAATTTTAGAGATTTGAGAACCCTTTCCGGTCACTTTCCCTATGCGTCATCTCACTTGCTTTTGGCCCCAACCCTGAAGCGTGGGTCTTGGGAGGCTTGAGCACTTGTTCAGGGAACTTTTCCCTCTCTTCTCTTCCTCAGCTCTGCAGCAAGCTCCTCCAAGCCAAGGACCATGCTGTATGCCTCTCTCGAAAGTTGGTGTGCCCAGAACAGTGCCTTTAACAGATTTGGCCTGACTTAGCATGCTGTGAGGCCATGGGATCAGATCCTTCTGACCTTTTCTCTGATTAAATCTTTAAAAAACAGAGGTCTAATTAAAGCAATGTGCAGAAATCTTAGAGTTGATTAGGTTTTTTTTTTAATATTTATTTTTTAGTTGTAGTTGGACACAATACCTTTATTTTATGTGGTGCTGAGGATTGAACCCAGGGCTCACATTAGGCACGCGCTCTACCGCTGAGACACAACCTCAAGTTGATGAGTTTTGACATGTATGTACACCTATAACCAACACTTGAAGATTGCAGTCAGGAATTCCCATGTATTTCTTCCCAATCTTTCAGAGTAAATGAAAAAGGTTTTGCAAAAGCACTGCTATTTGCTGCTGTTTTGCATCTTATACTCTTTGGCACAAGGCTAGTGCCTAGTCCTGACTTCACGTAACTGTCAGCTCTCTAACTGCTCTCAGACATTTCCTGAAGACTGCCACTTCAAAACTTCTCAAAGTACTTTCAAAACGGAATAATACAGTCCCAAACTAGCTTTATATACCAGCTTGTTTGTTTCTGGCACCAATACTTGAAGTCTCAGACTCACTTCTTAATTCTTTCCTTTTCTCAAACTTCAGTGATTTTTTTCTTCCACTACCACCTTCCATCCCCATGGCTTATATCTGTCCCTCAAAGTCCAGCTCATAAAAGTCCACCTCTTGAGGGCTGGAGTTGTGGCTCAGTGGTAGAGCGCTTCTCAGCACCACATATAAGTAATTAAATAAATAAAAAGGTCCATCAATAACTAATAAAAATATTTAAGAAAAAAAGTCTCTCTTGAACAAAAAGAGATAAATCTTTCCTAAACCATGTACAAATGCTATTATGTGAACTTAAAGAGTACTAACCATGTGAGGATGATTAGAACTCATCCCGAGTTACCTGATGACATTTCTTTCTCACCCTATTTAATATTCTATACAGTTGCAATCCAGGTTAGCGCCATATTATGCACCAGTGCTCAATCTCTATTTATTAAATAACTGGTTGCCTAAGGTGGCACAGCTACTCAGTGGCATAGAAAGATCAGAAACACCCTTGCAGTTTATTATCTGTGTTATAATTACCATCTAACTTTTGAGTTGTCAATAAAACAGGAACACAAAAAGAATGGTGGACTTCTATGTGTGAACAGCTTAACAACTTTTGCTGATGTTATTCATAATGAGTTCAACTTTCCAATCAGGCTTTCTTCTCAGATTATCTCTGAGATAATCTCTGAGATAACAATGGTTCTCTCTGCAGGCACTGTCAGTTTTGTTTGACTGAATGACAACAGAATGGAGTTGTAGCAGTAGGCCAGCGGGCAGCAGGGTACAGGAAGAACAGATGTAGAGCCAGGGGAAGTTACCCTATTCTCTCCATTCCTGGGTCCCATCATATAGAAAAAATCTTAAAAAAAAAAACAATTATTTATCATTCAATAAGTTATTTAATATCAACATTTAATAATTTGACTATTATTTAATGATTCCTGAATGGCACAGAATTCGTATTATCAAGATACCAAGGTTGTCCCTTCAGAACTCCTGAGTGTCCTGCACGGTGGCCTGCCTGATCGGCCGGACTGATCACACCGTCTGTCACCGGGCGGGCACTCCGCGCTGAAGCACCCTAGGGGACGCATTCTCAGCGGCAGGGCTCGTGGCAGGACCCGGGACCAAGCGCAGGACGTCACCTGCAGACCCAGGTGCCTGCCTTGCGGTGCCTGCCGAGCGCCCCAGCATACGCACGGAGGTCCTGGGGGGGTCAGCTTGGCGCCGGCCGGGCAGCGGGCGAGGCTGGCAGAGCCGCGGTCGGGAGTGCCTTCCTCGCCTGGACCTCCGTGGGGTCGACGGGACCGGCAGGGTGCCCAGGGTACACGGCGGGCGCGGGGCTGGCGCTGCCCCACCGCCCCGGGCCGCCCCGCTGCCGCGGCCCGCGCGGACACTTGCCTCGCAGGGCGCTGCGGAAGGCAGCGGCGTCCAGTTGGTCCAGCGCGCCGCCCTGCGCCAAGCGCACCGACACGCCCCCGAACCTGTCGGGCTCGCCGCGCAGCTCGCCCGAGAGCCCAGAGGCCCTGCGGCGCCCCGCCGTCGTCCTGAGAGCCGCGCCTCGCGCCCGCGCCCACACCAGCGCCGCGCGCCAGCAGCGCCCGACCGGCCGCATCGCGTCCCGTCCCGTCCAGTCGCGACCCGTCCCGTCAGCCCCCGCGGCGGGCCCCGGCCGCCGCCGTAAGCCTCAGAAGAGCGCCGCCGCCGCCGAGTGGGCGGGGTCCCCGCCGCGCAAAGCCGCCCCGCGTAGGCCGCGAGTCCCGGGCTCCCCGGCGCCAGAGGGCGGGAGACGCTTCCCCACGTTGGTGGCGTTCGCTCGTTCACACCGACCGACGTTCCAGGTGAAGCGGGGGACGAAGCTCCCCTGCGAACGCTCCTTCAGGGATGCACCACCGACGCGCCGGCTCCAGCCGCCGAACCGCCCCCTCCTGGGCAGCAGCGGAACCTCCGCAGCCGGGCCGCGTTCCACTCCGGGCTTTACGGCGCGGGCCGCGCGCGCCGATCTCTGCCCCGGAAGTCTTCGCTCGGCTGCGCGCACGCCCAGCCGGCTCTGCCGCTCGCCCGCCCTCCGCCCACTGGCCATGTCGTCCAAGAAGCACCGAAAGCGGCTGAGCCAGACCTTGGAGAGCGGGTCCCCCGCGCCTCCCGTGGCCGCCTGCGGCTCAGCGGCGGCCGGGACCCTGCTGGTGACCAGCTTCCTAGAGAAGGGTGAGGGCGCCGCGGGAGCGGGGGCCGGTCGGCCACGCGGGGTCGGGGCCGCTCCGCGCCGGGGTCCGCTCGGCGCGCCGGGGCGGCGCTCTGACGCCGGTCGCAGCCCTGCGCGACCCCGCGGGCCCCGGAGCCGGGGTGGCCCTCAGGTGTAGCGCGGCGCGAAGCCCCGGGGCGGGGTGCCAGCCCACGGCCGGCTTCCAGTGCCCAGCGTGCCCGACGCCGTGGCTTTGAACGACGCACCGGACTAAAGTGGGCTTCTGTGTGTCCAGACCCTAAGGCGGTCCTGGGGCCGGCTTCGCGGTTGCCCACTTCCGAAGGTGTCAGAGTACGCCCTCGCTGACCCGCGACCACCCCTTCCTCCCTGGCTGACCCGCGGTCCACCCTTTGTACCCCCTCGCTTACCCGCGGCCCACCCCATTCCTCCCTCGCTGACCCGTAGCCCGCCCCTTCTCCCTTGCTGACCCGCTCCACCCCTTCTCCAGCTGGGCCCTTCCCACTGACATTCAAACCTCTGCATTTTCTTGGGACCGCCGCTCTGATTTCTTCATGGCCAAACTAAGTGGCCTGGACTCTTCCTTCTCATGTCTCGCGCCCTCCTTGGCCTCTTCCTGCTTGACTTCCACCCTGTCTTTGAGTGGAAGCCGCCCTGCCGTGGTCACTGATCATCTCCATCCAGTGGATGATTTTACATTACTTTCTTCACCAAAGCTTTGCAGCTTTTGGCAGTCACTTCCTTTTGAAGTCTCTTCCTTCAGTCGCTTATTTTCTGCACGCTTGTGGGTATTTGTTTCCTCGGCAGGCTTCTCCCCTTCCATTAAACGTGGAGGTCTCTTAATTCTTAGTCCTAAATTTTCCAAGGCCAACAATTCCCCATCCATACCTCTACGTTTTCAAATTGGTTTTTGTAACGCATGTTGTTCCAGAGTCTTGATTCCCTTGTCTTTTGTACTGTTTTGCTTAAACTCTCTGTGCTGAAGGTTTTAAAATGTACAAAAGGTTACACTTTGGCACTTTTGTAGAACACAATAAAAATGAACTAGAAAAATAAGTTAAAAAAATAAAGGAAAAGTTTTTATTAGATCCACCAGATGTAAAATTGTTGTGTTAAATTGCAATAAAAGCTTCTTAATGCTTATCCTCATTTTTTTCTGGGTGTGTATGCATGTATCTCATAATTGAACCAGTAATAAATATATTTCATAGACCACATTTTGAATAGCACTGTCCAAAATTTTTTTCATGGATTTCTCAAGGTACCTCAGGACTGACCTCATCATCCCCTGTTTCCCCCAGCAGAACAAACTTTAACCCTATTCACTTTTTACCATTATAGAATCTGGAAGCGTCCAGTGGTCCCTGACCCACTTCTCACATCTCCTGCATACATGCAGTCCTTGATGTTTTCCTCTTCGTTTCTACTTCGACTTAGACTTTACCATTTCTCACCTGGACTGATGTCACAGCCTTTTAGTCAATCTCCCTTTTTTATTTCTTTTCTACTTTGTAGCCAGAATAATCTTTAAAAAAATTTTCTTTAGTTGTAGATAGACACAATACCTTTATTTTATTTATTTTTATGTAGTGCTGAGGATCTACATGTACCTCACATGTACTAGGCAAGCTCTCTACCACTGAGCTATACCCACCCCTGTCCTCCCTGGCTGACCCGGGGCCCACCCCACAAAATTATCTTTTGAAATGAAGATTCTGTCATGACCCTGCTTTTCATTCACGGGGCTCCCATACTGTCAGAGTGATGACCAACATGTTGACACCTCCACTGCTCTGGATGGTTTGACCTTCCTCACGTGCTCTGCCACTCTGCCTGTACTCTGGAGGATGCCCCTTACTCTTCTGTGCCCAGGACATCTATGTGCTATACTCTTGGCTGAGAATGATTTTTTTTTTTTCTTCATTTAGTTGTTTTCTACTTTTCCTACAGATCTGAATTTAGCATTACTTTGAGAAGCATTCTTTGGTTTTTTCAAATAAAGTCAGCTCTCACATTATAGGCCCTGCTAGCACTTTTTATCATTTTGTTGTATGAACCTTCGTGTGTGATATCGTTATTTAATGATTGTTATATAACTTCTTCATCCTGCTAGATTATGAACTCTGAGGGCAGAATTTGTGAACCAGGAGTGCCTATTATGGGGCTGAGGCTGAGTGGTAGACCATTTGCTTACTTGCACATGGTCGTGGGTTTCTCCCCAGCACCATCAAAAGAAAAAAAAATGCCATTTATAGTGCCAGTTATGTAGTAGGCAGTAGTACATATTTGTTGAATGACTGCATGGTTGTTTGAGATTATTTGAAGGAAGAGACTTGGTCGACAATGCCAAAAGCTGCAAAGGTTTAGTGAACAAAGTTGACCAAACTTTTAAGGTGCTCAGTAAGGGGAATATTGTGAATGGGGAAAGTGGATGTTTAAAGTACTGAAGTAGTAAGGATTGGTGGAGGGAGTTTTGTGGACAGGTGAGAATTGATTGATGTAAGCAGAGAGTACAATGACAAGTTTTTGGGAAAGGAGGCCAGGGATGGGAATTTGAACATGATCTACATGGATAGGGAGGAGATGTTAACATGGAGATGTTAAAGGAAGCCTGTGGTTTTTCCATCCTGGGGCACGTGGGTGGGAAATAGAAGCATAACCTAATGCTCAGAAGCCAGGTAGATGTACCTGTTCTTATTGAGGCCAAGGCTAACTCAGCTTAGAATCTGATCTCCAAAAAATAGAGACTATTTCAATTATGTTTAATTTTTTTTTTTTCAAAACAGTTTTATTTGATTGTTTTTATTTTTGTGATGCTGGGGATTGAACCCAGGGCTCAGGCATGCTAGGCAAGCTCTCTACCACAGAACTACATCTCCAACACCTCAGACAGCTTTATTTGAAAGGCGGGGACCATTGAGCCTTCCCACCTACTGCGAAGGTCCTCGTGGTGTTGGGCTTGGGGCAACCAGATGCTTAACTGAAAGGAAAGTGTGTGCTCCCAGGACCAGTGATATATGTTTGTTTGTTTGTTTATTTATTTATTTTTTAAGAGAGAATTTTTAAAATATTTTATTTTTCAGTTTTCGGTGGATACAACATCTTTATTTTATTTTATGTGGTGCTGAGGATCGAACCCAGTGCCCTGCGCATGCCAGGCAAGCGCACGACCACTTGAGCCACATCCCCAGCCCAATATATGTTTATTTTTTTAAATGAAATTAACATTGTCTCAAAGAACTTTTGACTGGAGGGAATTTTGAATGCAGCATATTTGCCATTCATAAATAGAAACCAAAATACTTAAGAAAAAAATTATCTTTTTTAAAAATTAACACTTTTTAGTTAACACTCATACATTGCCAGTAGACATATACTTAGAAGGACTTGGTTTTAAATTGGTTACAAGAAGAGTTGGGGCAGTGTTTTCTCTGGAGTGTGTGAGTACATTCATGTGGCTGTGTGGATATAGAATTCTTGTGTACTCCAGAGGAAAGCATGCCTTAGCTTCAGTTAAAAACTAGTACAAAATTAATTTTCTCTTTCTTTACAGTGGATGGCAAAGTTCCTAAAACGTTCCAGAACTCCCTTGTTCATCTGGGACTCAGCACTATGAAGTCTGCAAACATATGTATAGGTCGACCAGTATTGCTTACCAGTTTGGAGGGAAAGCAGGAGGTAAGAGTCTTTTTCATTTTCTTAAAATATTCGAGGTGTTTCTGATTTTGACTTCAACATAGGCAGAAGAAAATTAAAAGTACATTTGAAAAACGTTCACATGTATATAGACTACTCCTTTCTTTGATGTCTACAGCTATCTTGGGAATAGTAGGCCCTAAAATGCCATGTCCTTTTCCTCAAGGATGCAGTGACATACCCTTTGTTTCTCCCGACCTGTTATATTTCCCTGTAGAAGTGTCATTTTGGGCTAAGAAGGAAACCTTTGTTTCTCCTTGCTGCTGTTCACCACTCCTGAGACTCTGAGCCCAGAACCATGGATTTTCAGGAGCTAGGCTTTGTCTCCTGCTTGCCAGCCCCTGCCTCTGCCGTGGCTCCTTTGCTTACTTGTTTCATTTACAGGGGATATTCTGGAAATATTTAAAAATCATTTGTCTGCTGATGGCATCCTTCTCATTCTTTTCATTGTTCTGGGCTCATGTTGTACTTTCAAATCCTTTGCTGTGTCCTGTGGAAGAGAGGACTATAGATGTATGAACTCAAGCCAGGAATCTTCGCTCCTCAAACATTTAAATTGATGAGATCCACGTTCTGTGATAAAAAGTGTAGTTTAAGTTCAAACCTGGGTTACTTTAAAAAATTCTCTTGCTTTTAATATTTTTCTCATTTTCTTTTTATTACCTGTTAATGTCTTTTTCTTATTTCCTAAACTTACCTTTTGAATTTTCCAACATTTCAATGAGAGTTCACTCCTGATTTTCAGAGACACAATATTATTTATCCGAATAACTTCATTTTTGTGATCCTATGTAGTATTATCATATTTTTTGTAAGTGGAATTTATTCTATTGCAGTTTGTACCAGATTGTAAAGACTCTGGTATAAGGACTGTGTTTTGCAGATTCAGGTCCTTAGCTATGCTTAGCATTCTGCTTTATAAGTGGTATTCTAGAATACAACAATATTTTATAAAATAAATTTGGAAAATATTTTCAAGAAAATTTATTTTCTTGCTTCCTCTCTCTATGGGCAGGTCTATACAGCCTGGCCAGTGGCAGGATTTCCTGGAGGCAAGGTTGGCCTGAGTGAAGTAGCACAGAAGAATGTGGGTGTGAGGGCTGGCGATGCCATCCGGGTGCAGCCTCTTGTGGGCGCTGTGCTGCAGGCTCAGGAAATGGACTTGGCACTGAGGTTTGATTTCTTTTCCTCCCTTTCATGACTGTATGGTTGGTGCTGCTCAGTAGAAATATGAGAGTCACAAACATAAGCCACATAACTAATTTTGCATTTTCTAGTAGCCACAAAGAGTAAAGAGAAAGAGGTGAAATTATCATAACAGTATGTTTTGTTTAACCATTATATGTAGAATCTTATTTTAACGTGTAATAATTATAATAACTACTAATAAGATGTTTTATGTCCTTTTTATCAAAATAAGACTTCAAAATTCAGTGTGCTGTAGGATAAACTTATAGCTTATCTCAATTTGGGTTAGCCACATTTTTTTTTTTTATTAGTTCTATTCAGTTATATGTGACAGTAGAAAGCCCTTCAATTCATTATACACAAATGGAGCAGAATTTTTCACTTCTTTGGTTGTATGTGAAGTAGAGTCACACCATTTGTGCAATCTTGTTCCTAGGGTAATGATGTCCGCCTTATTCCACCATCTTTCCTACCCACTTATCCCCTTACCCCCTCCTTCCTCTCCCCTTTGCCCCATCCAAAGTTTCTCCACTCAACCCATGCCCCTCACCCACCATTATAGATTAGCATCCACTTATCAGAGAGAACATTCAGCCCCTGTTTTTTTGGGATTGGCTTATTCACTTAGCACGATATTGTCCAACTCCATCCATTTATCTGCAAATGTCATAATTTTATTCTCTTTTAAGCTGTGTAATATTCCATGGTATATATGTACCATAGTTTCTTTATCCATCTATCTATTGAAGGGCATCTAGGTTGGTTTCACAGTTTAGCTATTGTGAATTGAGCTGTTATAAACATTAAAGTGGCTGTGCCACTGTAATATACTATTTTTAAATCCTTTGGGTATAGACCAAGGAGTGGGATAGCTGGGTGGCTATTGGCCCAATGAGTGAGACAGCACAAGTGGTCCCATTCCAAGTTTTCTGAGGAATCTCCATACTGCTTTCCAGAGTAGTTGCACCAATTGCAGTTCCACCAGCAATGAATTGAATGTACCTTTCTCCCACATCCTCACCAACACTTATTGTTGTTTGTGTTCTTGATAACTGCCATTCTGACTGGAGTGAGATGAAATTTTAGAGTAGTTTTGATTTGCATTTCTCTAATTACTAGAGATGTTGAACCTTTTTTCATAGATTTGTTGATTGATTGTATATCTTCTTCTGAGAAGTATCTGTTCAGCTCCTTAGCCCATTTATCGATCGGGTTGTTTGGGGGTTTTTTTTGTGTTAAGTTTTTTGAGTTCTTTATATATCCTGGAGATTAGTACTGTATCTGATGTGCGAGTGGTAAAAATTTGCTTCCAGAATGTAAGCGCTCTCTTCACCTCATTGATTGTTTCTTTTGCTGAGAAAAAGCTTTTTAATTTGAGTTCATTCCATTTATTGATTCTTGATTTTATGTCTTGGTGCTTTAGGAGTCTTGTTAAGGAAGTCGGGGCCTAATCCAGTGTGATTTGGGCTTTTTCTTCTATTAGATGTAGGGTTTCTGGTCTAATTCCTAGGTCCTTATTGGATTAGCCACATTTTAAGTACTATAGTGGCCACATGTAGGGACTGGCTATTGGCCCAATGTGTAAGACAGCACAAGTTAAATGAGTACTATGTAATTTAGGGACTAAGGGCTCATGTTCCATGATTAGAACATACCCTGACATTTTAGATTAAAGGAAGTATTATTGCTGCATTTTTAGCAGTGGTTTTCATGTTGGCTTGGAACATAGTCAGGGCTTCTGATTTTTCTTATGGTTGTAAAGAAAGGAGTAGCTTACTGTGAAAATTAAGTTTGAAGACTGCTTGAGAAAAAGACCTGATCATATATTTTAACTCGTTGTATTCATTTTAGTAAACAGAGGGTCATTACTATTGAGTTTTAAATGGTCATTCACCAAAGGCTAATTGTTCGATTCAGCCTAACTTTAAAGTATATTATCTATCCTTTTGAATATTCTGCATCTAATAGGATTTTGACTTAGTTTGTATGTACAGGTTTGATTAGAATTCATTTTTTAAAAGCACCTTTTGACATTTTATCACCTTAGTAATAATTTTGGGAATGTGTTTACATGAATCACAAAACATTTTGTAGTCATCAGCTTGAGTTTTAAATTTTTTATTTTTTAATTTTTTAGTACTAGGAATTGAACCTTGGCCACTTAACCACTGAGCTACATCCCCACCCTGGTTTATTTTTTAATTTTAACACAGGGTGTTGATAAGTTGCTTAGGGCCTTGCTAAGTGCCGAGGCTGATTTTGAATTTGTTATTGTCTTGCCTCAGTCTCCCGAGCTGCTAGGATTACAGGCTTCTATTAATTTCTGAGCTTGCGTTTTGGCACATTTTTTTCCTTTAAAAATAAAACATTCTCAAAGCCTATAATAAGTTTAGTGAACATTAAAAAATCAGAGAGAAAAAACAGTATATGTTGAGCACCAGCTTTATACTAGATGCTTCGTGTATATTGCAAACACATGCTCACACTTACCTCACTTAACACCTTGAAAAGTATCCTTATTTATCCCATTTTAATAGGTTAGGAAATGGGCGCCATGAGGGGAATTAACTTGCCTGATACTTCGTAGGATAGTTGTTGTTGCTGCTCAGCTTAAAGCAGATTAATCATCACATCATGTCTTAAAAAAGGTGCTCCATGCAGAAGTAATCAGTTGACTGGAATTAGCCTTGATTGTGATCTACTACCTAGTCTGACCTCTTGAGGGCAGCAGTCTTAGGTGAATAATGTAGCCTATTATAGAGGACTGTACATATTTTCAATGGAATGTTGGTCTATAAAATTTTATTTTAAAAAATCTTACATTTCAAATGAGGCTTCAGTGTATAGACAAGAAAGTTAGTTTTCAGTTAGGAAAATCAGTAATTTGAATCTACTTATATTTTTAGTTGCAACTGAAAAATCACATTAGTAATGTTGGAGCTCCTTCTGGTGGAAATAATTTTATCTGCACCCATTCTATTATAAAAGCAAAATTGGTTATTTAGGTACTTTTACTGTTTTTATACATACACACACACACACACACACACACACACAAATATATATTTTGTGAAGACATTCTATTTAGAGTTTAATAAATAAAATAACTTGGTTCAAAGTTTTATAAACAAATAAATTTAAGCATTTAAGGATATAATTTTCTTATTAGTTTACACAACTATTTAATTCATGAACACTTCCCCGTGTTCCCTTTTGCGTGTAATTATGTCGTCAGTTCTCATTATTTTTGTAGTAGTTATGTTCTGTTGAAGTCTCCTTGTGCACTGTTCCTGGGGGTAAGTATGTACAAGTATGTGCATATTTACATAGATTGCCATCTTAAATCCTTAAAAAAAACAAGAAACCTCATTCTGGTAAGAGTCTGTTTTCCTTATGTTACGAAAGAGTAGGGGAAGATTGTCCAGCAGAGCTGGACAGCTGTTGGTCTCCTGTAGTGCTTATGCATGGAGGAAGAAGAAAATGCTAATGTTTTGAAAACTCTCCAAGAGAAGGCTTCTTTGCAAGTGCAGCACTATTCAGGTGTGCCTACTTCTTGCATTTGAACAAGTAGGAAGACACCTGTAGGACACCTTTATCAATAGAAAGAAGGAGGTCTCATTTTTTCCTCAGGCATGTCCTTTCTCCAGAATAAATTTTCACTGTAGTCATTACTCACTTTTCTCTCTTCAGGTAATGTACTTACAGGATTTAATTTTCTTGAACAGGTAATTTATAAATAGGGATGAAATTGGCTGTGAATAAAAGCCTTTTTCCAAGGTAGGCAAGTGCAAGAAAGGAGTAGGTAGTTTAAGCTGGTGTTTTTCATGTTTGTGGTGTGAGTGCGCACACACACACAGATGTTATTATGGATTATCATACACCCTCCAAGAAGTTATGCACACGTGAATTTATATATATATATGTGTGTGTGTGTGTGTATGTAGATATGTTTGTATGTATGTGCATATATGTGTATGTAATAAATTAATGTTTTACAAAGCATTTACCCTGTGTGCAGTGTTCTCTGACATTTATTCTTTTTTTTTTTTTTTTCTTTTTTTTTTTTTATTGTTGGCTGTTCAAAACATTACATAGTTCTTGATATATCATATTTCACAATTTGATTCAAGTGGGTTATGAGCTCCCATTTTTACCCCATATACAAATTGCAGAATCACATCAGTTACACATCCATTGATTTACATATTGCCATACTAGTGTCTGTTGTATTCTGCTGTCTTTCCTATCCTCTACTATCCCCCCTCCGCTCCCCTCCCCTCCCCTCCCCTCCCCTCCCCTCTTCTCTCTCTGCCCCCTTTACTGACATTCGTTTGTCCCCCTTGTATTATTTTTCCCCTTCCCCTCACTTCCTCTTGTATGTACTTTTGTATACCTCTGAGGGTCTCCTTCCATTTCCATGCATTTTCCCTTCTCTCTCCCTTTCCCTCCCACCTCTCATCCCTGTTTAATGTTAATCTTCTTCTCATGCTCTTCGACCCTACTCTGTTCTTAGCTACTCTCCTTATATCAAAGAAGACATTTGACATTTGTTTTTTAGGGATTGGCTAGCTTCACTTAGCATAATCTGCTCTAATGCCATCCATTTCCCTGTAAATTCTATGATTTTGTCATTTTTTAATGCAGAGTAATACTCCATTGTGTATAAATGCCACATTTTTTTTATCCATTCATCCATTGAAGGGCATCTAGGTTGGTTCCACAGTCTAGCTATTGTGAATTGTGCTGCTATGAACATCGATGTAGCAGTGTCCCTGTAGCATGCTCTTTTTAGGTCTTTAGGGAATAGACCGAGAAGGGGAATAGCTGGGTCAAATGGTGGCTCCATTCCCAGCTTTCCAAGAAATCTCCATACTGCTTTCCAAATTGGCTGCACCAATTTGCAGTCCCACCAGCAATGTACAAGTGTACCCTTTTCCCCACATCCTCGCCAGCACTTGTTGTTGTTTGACTTCATAATGGCTGCC